GAGGCAGGAGACTCGCTTGATCCCAGGAGTTGGAGGTTGCTGTGAGCTGTGATGCCACAGCACTCTACCCAGGGGGATGGCTTGAGGCTCTGTCTCAGAAAAAAAAAACAAAAAAAACCAAAGAATTCTTCCCATTTTACAAGTGAGGAAATTTAGGCTTAGAGAACAATCCCAGCTCACTTAGTAAACAGTAGTGTTAAAATTCAAATGACTACAAGCCTGCTCAACACATTCCTCCCACAGCATTTCTGTTGCCTTGGCTGAAGCCATTTAACTTCCCACTCAGAATATTACCAGGTTTTTCATACCTGTGATGTTGTCATAATTCCGGAAAGTCTTTTCTACGTGGTCCCATTCAAGGAAAATGCATTTTCCAGTAAAAGGCTGGGCGATGACTACATACTCATCGTTCAGATAAGAAAAAGTGTCTATGGACAGAGATTGATAAGGCAGGTCTTGAGACTTTGCAAATTCTGCAAAAATAGGAAATGATGATATATAACTGTGAGCTAATACTGCTTTCCTTGGCTAGATCTCAAATACCCATAAGAAATACATTTGTTTTAGAGAAACAGTACAATTGCCATTCTACTTTTCTTTTAAACACATGAAATTTTTAATAGTTCATAATTTTTTTTAAAAAATTAATTGTTCAGCTTTTTTAAAGACATAAAAATATCAGTTCCTGCATATATACGTAGCCCTTACTTTAATTTTGTGAGGTGGAAGGATTTTTAATATATTACCTGTAATGATACAGTCAAAGTCCTTGGAAGAGAGACTATTGATTTTGCGCTTCTTGTATTCTGGAGGGCCTTCGCAGTAGATGTCTTCAACAGTTGCATTGGTGTGACTAAGCCATTCTACCAGCCATTTGAGTTTACAGTCGCAATTAAAGGAATTCCCCCTCAGATCCCTGGAAGACAAATTTCAGCTGCTTTTGCTGTACGAGGACCCAACTTAAACAGGTGTTGACTTCTATATCTGCAATTAACATGAGCAAAATGACCTTACCTGGCTTTACATTGTATCCCATAATCTGCTTTGAACCTGACTGACCATTCAGTTTGGGGTCAGAGAGTTACTATAGTGCACCCTTGAAGGCCACCCCAGGCAATGGAGCCTCATAACTTACTCCCTCTTGGATTCCAAGGTGACTTATTCTAAAACTGTGCTGTCAATAGAAATAGTACGTGAGCCACATATATAATTTAAAATTTTCTATAGCCACTTTTTAAAAAGTAAAAAGAAACAGGTCTAATTAATTTTAACAATGTATTTTATTCAATCCAATACATACAAAAATCATTTTGATGTGTCATAAACATAAGCGTTATTGAAATGTTTTACATTCTTTTTTTACACCAAGTCTTTGAAGTCCAGTGTGTAGTTTATACTTAACAATATATCTCAATTCAGATGTTAAGTTTTTATCAGAAATACGTGATCTGAATTTAGATTTCGTAAAATTTAGAGTTGAAAGAAATAAGATTTGTGCACTTAAGTTGTTCCGCACATATTTAAAAGTTTTCCAATAATTGAATGGAGAACTAGCTTTGGAAGTTAAATTTAAATTTAAAAAATTAAGTAGAATTTAAAATTCCGTTTCCCAGTGGCACTAGGACCACATTTCAAGTGCTCAGTGAGCACAAGTGTCTTGTGGCTACTGTGATGGACAGCACAGGGCTAAAGGAGAGAAGGTAGTGATGACAGTAAGATATTTCATTAAACAGAGTGAGCTATTTGCTTTTCTTCTTCCTCAGAGCGTAAGTAATCCTGATCCTCTTCCATGGTCTACAAATTCGGTTTTAAATGAAAATGACCTTGACACAGCAGAGTTAACACAGACATACAAAGGCTCGTGCTTGTAATACATTATACAGCAGACACAGTTTAAATGCCCACATATGACCCCAACTCACCAAGTTCTCTGTTTATTTGCATTGCTTCTGTTCAGGAATTCCATCTCCTTTCCTGGTCACACAGAATTCCTAAGATAGGTGCTGCCTTCTCTTCGCATAGCACATAAATAACTTTTAAATACCCAAACATTTAAAAATGTTTTTTAGGAGATACTTTCAAGAAAGCCAAGAAATCCACTAAAAGGCAAGTTGGCAGGAATCCTTGTATTTCGAAGATAATTCTTGATTTGGGCACATCAGAGTAGGCCCCAAAGGCCAAACACATCACGGGATTCCCTAGAGATTGAGCCAATTTCTGACTTTCGTTTTGTTTTGTTTACTGGTGGAGCGTACAGACTGACACAAGAACAGGAACAAGTACCTCCCGTAAGCTACATCCCCAGATGCCATGGAGCATCATCTAATTTCCCAGACGTTTCCAGAACGGAGCTCACCTCCCAAGAGGCTCTGACCCAGAATGATGAGCAGCAAATTTGGGGGGCTACTGCAAACCAGAGCAGATAACTGCGGCCTGTCCAGGACTGCATTGAAAGTGGCCTGATTTGGGCACTCTCTTGGAAATAGATGATCATTCAGGAATTGGGGCAATAGGCATGGAGGAGGGGCTGGAGGAATACTGCCAGGAACAAAGAAAGTTTTTCGCTAGCTTACTGATTTGAAGTTAAATACTGGGCTTAGGGGGAAAATTATCTGGCTCAGACTTTTTGTTATTAGGGAAAAATTGTTTTGCATATATATCCTAAGCAAAGTACCTGAGTAACAATAATAATAAAACTTTTGTTTCCATGTACCCTTTCTTTGTCCCTATATTCTATCTTATGACATTTAAATACCTTTCTAATGCTCTGGAAGGCATTTAATGAAGCTAAATTGATTTTGAAAGAGTTAGGCATATATTACTTGCTTTGCTTACAGCAAAATATACAAATTCCTTACAAAGATCTTTCACTCTGAGGCTTAAAAGTCAAAGTTTGAAAGCTCTTTTGTTTGAAAAAGGGTCAAAAGTAATTAAGTTCATTCCCTTCCTGGGGCTTAAGCCAAATTCCTGGGGATTAAGCCTAGAGCTGTTGTTCAGTTTAATGCGAGAGAAGGCAAACTTTCCCTCTTCCCCCGTTTCCTGCCCCATTTCTCTGTTGACTGACCAACCCAAGGGTATAAACTTTCATCTCTTCTCTGTCAGTTTCCCAGACTCCTTTATGTTATTCCTTTGTAGCCCCATTTCCTGGACCTTATGAGAAAAAAAGGATATTGAAATTTCTATGTGGGTCTCTTCCTCCCACCCCCTCAAAGTTCCTGATCATCACTCCTTGCCACACAGACATACGTTTTGTCAAAGGAATGCCTGGGTACTATACATTCAGAATTTCCAGTGGCAAATACCATAAAAAGATTGAAATGTTAGTCCCTGTGAATTTAAATTATAGGCCAATGTAAAATTAAAATTTTAAAGTTCTAATTTAATTTAGAAGCCAATTAAAAGTTCTAATCATCAATGCCAGGCTTCCTTATTAATTACTGCAAATCAATGAATTGTTCAGTGATTTCTTAGGTCCTCTTACACATTTGTTAAAGAATCCAGGCCTTTGAAAATATCTTTTGGGAGTGTCTGGAGATTGTTGTTTGCGAGGCTCCTGGAAAAAAAAAGAAAGTGATTTAAACTATAGTGATAAATTAAATCAATGCATTGACTGTAATGCTTGGTTACAAGTCCCTCTTGTCAGGGACTACTACTCATTTCTACTAAATTACTTACAGTACTTTCTTTTTTTTTTTTCTCTTCTGAGATACTCCTCCTATTGTATTTTCAGTTCTGACCCAGTTGCTTCAACGCTCACTCAGTATTTGTGTAACACTTTATGTTGGTTAAAAACAATGACAACAAACCAGCAACAAAATGGTACCTGAGCATTAACCTTTCTATTTAGAACAGAAGGTGAAGTGTAGGGGACGTCTCTTGCACAGTGACTAAACTGGTGATGGTGTCCCTGCATCCATCTCCAAGGCCTCCTCCTCACTGGCTCCTTCTCCCTTGTAAAACCACCCTTTATAAAATTAATAAAAGGCTACAAGGTAGGAACTGTGGGAGAGAAAATATACATATATGGCCAGCCCTTGTTCTCTAGCTTGCTTTCGCATAATTTCTTTTTTTCTTTTTGAGACAGAGCCTCAAGCTGTCCCCCTGGGTAGAGTGCTGTGGCATCATAGCTCACAGCAACCTCCAACTCCTGGGCTCAAGCAAGTCTCCTGCCTCAGCCTCCCAAGTAGCTGGGACCACAGGCACCTGCCACAATGCCTGGCTATTTTTTGGTTGCAGCCGTCATTGTTGTTTAGAGGGCCCGGGCTGGATTCGAACCCGCCACCTTAGGTGTATGTGGCTGGCGCCTTAGCCACTTGAGCCACAGGCGCCAAGCCCCATAATTTCTTACTACTCTGGAATCATATAGCTGATGGTCATAACAATTCTTAGCCTTCTTCATGGCTCTGATACATTAACATCACCCTTGTGAAAACTAAGGCTAGTCTTTGTGATATCTTTCAGCTCTTGCATCCTGGTGGAAGAGATGACCCACCCAAACCAGTGGCTCATCTGGAAGAACTGACTCAACTGGTCTGTGATCGTCACCCAGGAAGTGACTTAGCAAAGAAGATAATTTCTACACCACTGTGTTTCTGCCCCGCCCCCCCCCCCACACACACACACACAACCAATTACCAGATTCAACTGCTTAGCCCTTTGGCCTGCCAAACTATTTTTAAAAGCCCTTTCTCCCAAATTCTCAGGGAGATGGATTTGAGAATTTCCTCCCATCTCCATGCATGGCACCTGCGCTACGAAATCTCTGTGGTCAGTTCTGCTGTCTCAGTGTATTGTCTTGCTTTTGACAGTGGGCAATGACCCTTTGGCCTGTGACACTCACTCCTCCTCGCTTGCTCCAGAGGGCAGCTAAACCTCCAACCCACAGCACCAATGGCTCTATCCCTTTGCCAGCACGTCCTTTCTTCATTCCAAAGCCCATGCCCTCTTTTCTATGTTTTCCCTTTTAACTCCATTCATTCCATCTCAGAAAAAGCTTCCTCACAAACATCCACTCATCTATCCTCTTTCATCATTTCCCTTTCTCCCAGCCTTGTCATCAAAGGAATTGTCTTCTCTTACCCTTTCGATTTGTTCTTCCACAAATCACTAGGATTCTAATCAAGGTTAGTGAGTAAGAAATAGTTCCAATAGTGTCAAGGAAAGAGAAATGTGTACACACTACAGAAATGCAGACATATGGAGAGCTGCTGCAGGGGGTCAGGGAAGGGCACGTGTATTGTAATTTTCTATTTTTAACCAGCACCACATGCACACATGTTGCATATTGTTCTTAGGAGTGTTATTGTTTTCACAACAAAAATAGAAAACAAAAACTCAAACTAAAAAGTCCATACTGTTGGCCTCCAAAGCCCTTGAAAATTCTCTCAACCTCCTTATAAAACACTCCCACGGGTCTTCCATGTCTTCCGCTTCCACTAAGTCAACAAGAGATTTCTCAAGTGCAAACAGTCAAGACTTTTAGAACCTATTTTTAAGTTAGTGATGTTCTTTTTCCAAGTTTTAGAAATTACTACTGGATTAAAAAAAACTGGTTTCAATGAAACTTGGAATGTAAAAATGGGAGCTGAATCAGAAAGTTCCATTCTCAATGACAGTCCGTTTTGTGACAAAGGCTCAGTTTGAATCCTGACTCCACCCTTCACTGGCTGTGAGACAGGGGCTATGTATCTTTTCCAAAACTCAGTTATTTCATGTTTTGAAATCACTTGTCTCCTAAGATTATCTTATCTCCTAAGATTATTGGAAAAGGAAAATGAGATAACCAAGGACGGTGTCTGGCATCTGGAATAGTCTCCATAAAGAGCAGGGTGGGGCTGGGAAGGAGGGGAAGGCTTCTGTGCATCATCGTCCCAGAAACAACACCCAGGACACTGACCATAACAAAGGAACAGCTCTGGCTGTCTTACATCAGTAGCATCAGTAAAGTGCCACTAAAGACGACTATTTAAGAGAATCCCTCCATCATTCATCTGACTAACCGGGGTTTCAATGAAGTTCTGTGTTTCAGTTTATTTGCTGGCACAAGGTGTCTTAAAGTTATCATGCTAATGTTTCCTAAATGGATGTCCTTCCCTCAGAAACTGACACAAACTGCGCTGGCTATAGGACATAAATCGGGAGGAGACTGGGACACAGTGAGCATGAAATGATTCAACAGTCAAATCCTGATTTATGGCTGCCAGTGGGTTACACAGGAAGAGGCAACATGCCTGTGTACTGTCCAACAGGGACTCATTCAAACCTGCCCACGGGAGTAGAGCTCTAGGCTGCAGGTACCCAAGATACAGGCCAGCTGCAGAGGCAGATGGCAGAAGAGTCAGAGATACAGACTCAGAGCTACGGGGCTTCTGGAACAGCGAGATGGTATTTTTGCATGATGAGATGGGAGGCAGGCTGGCCTGATGGGCTTGGGACTGAGGCATTTGGCCTCCTGAGGACTTCATGTGATGAGGAGCCTCTCCTTGTGGGACAAAGAAGGTGGGGACCCAAAGCAGCATGAGATCTGGGGGGACAAATGGCAGGTGGATCTACTGTACCCAATGACCCCCTTTGCTGCTCCACTACCCAAAACTCAATGAAGAACTGCCTCCCAATGGATTGCTTTTAAAGGAGACAGGATCGAGCTTCATGTCTAGGTTTGGAGGGTGGGGGACATCAAGGCTGCCTGGACTCATAAGATAAACAGAATCAAGAAGAAATAAGACTTGGAAATGAGAGCGAGGCTTCCAGACACCCAAGGTTGCTTTATATGTCAGGGCTCTGTTACAGTTTTTGCAGAATAATTCCCAGGCTCTGTCAGGGTTGCTTTCCCAAAGTCATTCTCTGCCCAAGTCCCCCTGCCTACTCATAGTGCAGCACTGTCTCTACAAAAAGTAGAAAAACTTAGCTTGGTTTAGTGGTGTGCTGGGAGCTGAAGTTCAGGAAAACTTCCCCAGGTCTCTGGGAGGCCCTGTGACATCAGGGTACATTGGGATAAAAAGAAAGCAGACAGAGGGACTCGGGCAGAGAATGAGTTTGGGAAAGCAAGCCTGACAGAGCCTGGGAATTATTCTGCAAAAACTGTAACAGGGCCCTGACATAGACAGCAACCTTGGTGTTCAGGCTGACTGTGCAGGGTGAAGGGTGCGTCAGACACACGGGAGAGGATCACCAGACCCTGCAGAGGTAAGACGAGAAATCAGAAATGGCTCTGCACGGAAGGAATCACATCTTGGCTGTGGCTAGTTAAGAGTTCCTACCAGAAAACAAATCAGTAAAATAAAATAAATCAATTTAAAAAAAGAGTTTTTACCAGTTCCCAATGAAGAGAAATGGGAAATATTAGCAGCCTTGTGCACACGTGGGAAAACAGATTTGATCTGCCATTCACTAGCACAGCAATCCCTTCTTAATGGACATGTACGTTGTTTCTAATTCTTTGCTGTGACAGAGAATGGCAGATCAAATATATTCCCCCAGGTGTGCACAAGGGAACATGTGAAACGTACTAAATGTAGAATATAAATGTCTTAACACAATGACCAAGAAAATGCCATGAAGGCTATGATAACCAGTTTGATGAAAATATTTCAAATTGTATATAAAACCAGCACATTGGACCCCGTGACTGCATTAATGTACACAGTGCTGATTTAATTAAAAAAAAATAATAAGGGATTGTGTAAATGACGGTTTGCACTTCACATGGAATATGTGGTAGGAGAATTTTAAAATGAGGTAGGTCTCTATGATTTAACATGAAGTGATGCCTAAGTGTAGAGGGTAATCCTACAGGAGAAAGACAGATTGATTCTACTGGTGCATATAAAAAGCTCTATAAAAAGATTAAAGAGGCTC